TGCTGCAGTTTTTGCTGCTGCAGTAGCTGGTGGTGTTGTTGACGTCCGATCATCTTGAAGAAAATTTTGGAAAGACCGAACTTCTATCCGTCGCCTCCGACGACACCTCGGTTTTCGTCCTCTCCCTCCTTTCTTCGTTCGGGGTCCCGTTACCGGTGAAAGCTTTTCTCTTGAGGTGGTGTTGGTGACCCGGTAACGGTGATCGCCCCCTATGTACCCTCCACTGACCCGCTTCTCGCGCTCCTGGCGCTCGCGCTCCAATTTACGTGTGTGTGGGAGGCACTGCTGGAGTTCCAGCGCCCATCTCGCAATCCTTCCTGACGGGCTCTCGATACTGTTGAGCCACTTCAGTGCCATATGATCCGTGATGACTTTGAAATGATATCCTTCCAGGTACGGTCGCGATTTTCTTATGGCCCATACAATCGCCAAGCATTCCTTTTCAGTTGCGGAGTAATTTCTTTCCGCTCCATTTAGGGAGTGACTTGAATATGAAATTACTCTCTCGCCTTGATCTGAATGCTGCGTGAGTATGGCGCCAAGCCCGTAGTCGCTGGCGTCTGTCTGCAAGACGAACGTCTTCGTGAAGTCTGGGCACGCCAGGATTGGGTCTGCGACCAGCCTGGCCTTGACCGCCTCGAATGCCTTCTGGTGGTCGTCGGTCCACTCCCATTTCACCTTCTTCCGGAGTAGGGCATTTAGTGGCTGGACTAGTGTGGCGAAGTCGGGTACAAAGCGTCGGTACCATGATGCCACTCCCAGGTATTGCCTCAGCTCCTTAACGTTGGCTGGCGGTTCCAGCAACGCTATCGCCGCTACCTTCTCCGGATCAGTTCCAATTCCTTGGTCCGTGATGCGATGTCCCAAGTACTGTAGCTCCTTCCTGAAGAACTTGCACTTCTCCACATTCACCTTCAGGTTCGCTGCCCGCAGTCTTCGGAACACTTCCCTCAGGTTTCTTGTATGCTCCTTCAGCGTCCGTCCGATGACGATAATATCGTTCTGGTACGCAAAGGCGTGCGGCATCATCTCAGGCCCTATGACCTGATCGAGCGCCCTTTGGAATGTTGCCGACGCTGAGTGCAGCCCGAATGGCATCACCTTCCATTGGAACAGTCCCTTTCCTGGGACGGTGACCGCGGTATACTGCCTGCTCTTCTCTTCCAGCGGTATTTGCCAGTATCCATCCTTTAAGTCCAGGCTGCTGATGTATCGTGCCTCCCTTAATTGATCCAGGATGTAGTTGATCATAGGCATCGGGTACGCATCCTTTACCGACTTTGCGTTGATTTGTCGGAAATCTACGCACAGCCTCCATTTTCCCGTCTTCTTCTTTACCATGACGATTGGAGAGCTGTACGGGCTTCTTGACGGCTCGATGCATCCTTTTTCCAGCAGCTCGTCTACCTTTTCGTTTATTTCCCCCTGCATTTTGGTGTTTTCTGGGTAGTACCGCGGCTTCACTGGCTGGTCGTCCTTCATCGTGATCTTGTGGACGGCTATGTTTGATGTTCCGCTTCCTCCTTTAGGAATTTGGCGATGTCCTCTTCCGAAAACTGTTCTGGTGTTTTTACCACTGCCACCGACAGTCTTTCTTCTAGCATTCCTAGTCTGCGCTTCCTTGCTGGTATCGCCACTTCGAGTCCTGCGCATTTTACCTCCGCTCCTATTTTTGTGAGGAAATCCCAGCCCAATACTAGGGCGTCTATTACTCTTGGGAGGATTAATAACTGCATCAACACCTTTCTCGTCCCGAGACCAACCACTATCTCCAGCTGTGATTGGATGCTCCCGCATCTTCCGTCTGCCATGCACACCTGCCTTCTCGTTGGTACGACTTTACCGGCGGCCTGCAGCCTGTCCGCCAACTCTTCGCTTATAAAGCTTGCCGTGGCGCCAGTGTCCACCGTGGCCTTCACTTTTCGGCGGCGGCGGACAGCTGCATCTCTTCCGCCTTCAGGTCGCCCATTAGTTTCGAGAGGCAGCACCTTGCGATCCTTGGCCGCCCCTCGGTGGCTGAGGTCGCTTGGCGTTTCCCGCTCGTGCGCAGCATTCGCCGTTCGTGATGCCTATTTTCCCGCATCTCCAACAGAATGCGATTCTTCTGTTGCGGCATTCTTTCGCCCAGTAGTCTTGGCTTCCACATCTCCGGCATGCCTGGGATGGATTATTTACATATCCCGGCCGTGCGTTACGCTCGTCTGGCTCCTCTTGACAGCGCCTGCACGTGGCTGCTGGTTCTCTCCTCATGGACGGCGCAAGGTATCGGGCTTTTGGGATGTTTTCTTGCTCGAACCGCTCCCAAATTCGTCCGCTAATGCCATCAGGGTATCCAGGTACTGGCACCTGTAGGAGCGGATAAACAGCCGTAGTGTCGGGGTGCTGTTTTCTTTAATCCGCTCCAAGATCTCGTCCTTGTTCAAGCCCAGGGGTCGCATCAATGTCTGCATGTCTACCATGTAGTCCTTGAAGCTTTCGCCGTAGTTCTGCTTCCTCTGTCTGACCTGATCTGCGAGTTTGTTCATAAATCCCCTGGGCAAGAAGAACTCCTGGAAGCTCTGGCTAAATCCGCCCCAGGTCTCCCAGAACCTGTTGTTGGCGATGAACCATTTGAGCGCTTTGCCCTAAAGGAGTTCCGGCATCGCCCTCGGAATTTGGTTGATGTCTAACCCGTATGTCATGGCCGACCACTCCACTTGTTCGAGAAACTCCAGGGGCTTCTCATTCCCGTCGTAACGGAAACTCCACTCCCTGACTTACTTTGCTATCTTGGCATAATCCTGTCCGGGTATGCCATTCTCCGCACATTGTTCGCGGTTGTCGCTTTTCCCCTCCCTGCTGCTCTCCCGTCGGTCGCGGCTGCTGCTTCTGCCTGCGTTCTGCATGCTGCTCACGTCCAGGCTGCGCACCAGGCCTTCGGCTCCGGTGACTTTCAGGCCGACCGACGGGTACTTGGCGTAATCCCTTTCCAGGGCCGCCAGAATTGCCAGCGCATCAGGATCATGCCCGGAATGGTCGATAAATTCGGCCAGTGTCCGCCTCATGTCCTCTACAAGGCCCTCTAGCTCGATGCCTAGGGCCATTTCGATTGCTGGGAAATCGTCCTTTTTCAGGTTATATAACCACGACTTCCCCATTCTAAATATGTTTTCTGGTTTTCTTCGATCCGAGAATCACGCTTAGGCGCCGCTTTTTATATCTTCGCTCGCTACATAAACGTGCGGCTAGCTCAGTTGAGTTTATGTGTTCGTCCTACCAAATTTATTGTTGCGTGACCCCGAAACTAAAGAAGAACGCAGAAGTTAGGTTAGATTTTGGAATATGTGTGCTGGGTTTATTGCATCTAGATTTACAATAAAATATTCGACTTCTGGCTCCGCTCGCTGATGAATATAACGCCCTCGTTGACGCCGGTAGTGGCTCCCACGTCGACTTCTACGGCGGCACGCCTGTCGTGCATCCTCTGCCTTGCCGAGTCTTTCGGGCACCGGTCGTGTATTAGGTTCGCTATAAGTCCCTCACAACTTGGCGGATGTTAAGCAGAAAACCTTACTGGAGGGCTAAGCAGTGTTGCTGCAGTCAACACTTTACGCTCCACCCTGAAGTCGGTCGGGACTTCGTCGGGCTGGGCCTCGGCAGGTCCTCACTCTCGTGTGGACCGACTCCGGGCACCTTTCGCACAACTCCCTCGGATTCTCGTCGGCTGGCCCTCAGCAGGTTCTCAATCTCTCATGCGAACCGACGCTTGGTACCTTTCGCACAACATCCACTTACTCGGACTCCACCAATATCGTCGTTTTCGAGACTCGTAGACGCACCCTACAGCTTACCTTGTACCCTTGGGATCTCAGCTTGGCAGTCTCAGCTTATGTAGACGTGACCGTCGTTGGGCTTCTCGACTCGGCGATCTTGATTCCGGATATCCTGGCACTTGTTGTTCACTTGGGCTTTATTCGCGTTGATACGGTCACTTGCACGACTTTCACTTGACTGTCCAGAAGTGTGCGCGCGTCCTCCTTTTATACGCCATCCTGGTCCCGCAATTTCCCTTCCTCGGTGGCGTGATCGGGTCCAAAGTGCAGGACAAGTGCCGTGATCGGGTCCAAAGTGGAGGACAATTCCCGTTAGTTCTCCTCTTTGTGCTGGTCCAAAATCCGCGAACTTCACCGTTATACGGGTACAAAGTTCAGAACTTCACCGTTATAACGGGTACAAAGTCCAGAACTGTACCGTTAGTTCACGGTCTCTCCTCTTTGCGCGGGTCCGAAGTCAGCAGACTCACCGTTATTGGGTCCAAGGCCTACAGACTCACCGCAGCATTGAGTTCAAAGTCCAGAGAGCCGTTATTTCCTTTTTCCCACCGCACACAGCGAATCCCGCTGTTGCCATGCAGCTCCCCTGCACTCAAAATTGTAAGGAGTTTTACAACTCCTTACAAGAGATTGACAAAATGGTCCGCGGGATCGAAAAGAAGAGTTAGAATTGCGAAATGGATCATACAATTTCAGACCCAAAGTAGAAGCCAACAAGCAACGAGATAGCGAATAGAAAAATAGAGAGACAGCGATGGTAATTATGCAGATAAGATACCTAAGAGAACCAAATTCTCTGCTGCGGCTGGATGACCCGACAATAGTTTTTTAACGACTCTCGAAACTTCGAATTAAATTTCGTAAGAACTATCGTATAGCTTCCATATGAAAAATCGTTGAAAATATAGAAACTTAATAGAAAAATCGACATACCTTCGATGTTGTTTAGCCTTTATGTATTTTGTTCGACATATTTGATGACTGCAAGGGTATTCGGCAAGCCGAAGCTAGCTTTGGAATCGTATACGTGTATAAGCATCAACTCTCCGAATTTAACTTCCTTTCTTGTTTTTACACAAGAGTGATTTTTAAACTACACGATATTTTGAAAATCATAGTATGTATTAGTATTAATTAGTATTAAATTAAGAATTAAATTTTCATTACGTATTAATTGTGTATTTTCAGGAAAATCAACCAGATTTCATTCAAGCAGTTTCCAATGGAACGTTTGGGAAAAATCTTCTGCCAATTGTCATAATTTGGAGACGAGATGATAAACATATAAAGTATGAATGGGTCCCTGGAATTCAACTCTTTACCAATGTTACTGTTGAAACCCTCATTAATTCAACTAAAATTGAGATTTCGTGTACACTTAAAAGGCTTTTAAAGTCTTCAGAAGCTTTAAGCCATGAAGCCTTTGTGCAGGTGCTTTATTTTAACTCTCTTAAAGATTATTAATTGATTGATCATTGTTTTGCAGAAATTATTTAATGAACACTCTCAGGGAATTTTACCTAGATGGATTTCCCGATTCATGTACTTAGTTGATTATCTGTCAGACAACATGGAAGACGAGCACCTTCTAGCAGTTTTTTCTCTTCTAGGGACTATTGTGTTTATGTTTGCTGTTGGGTATATATTAATGTACTATGTGAGGACCGAAGAGAAAAATCTTAAGGCACAAGGCCATCTTAATAACAGTCAAGGTATGTACTCTACATGAATTTATACCACCTTACCAAACTTGCGCCAACTAGTAGTCCTCTAATACTGTTAAGTTTTTATATGGCACATCAAAATATAAAAAATATTTTGTATATGTGTCCTCCTGTCTGTTTCTATGTAAACTAGTCTGTCAGTTTTAAAGCTATCTTGCTGAAACTTTCCCAAAAGTTGTGTAGTTATTGCACGCAGTGCCCTCTCCAACCTTTGAGATAGATGCTTTCAAAAAAATATTCTGATTTATATAAAGTATAAGGATATGAAAGGTACTGCAAAAAGTTTCCAAAATATACGAGGTTTTTTCGAAAAGTATCCGACCTGCAATTATTTGTCAGCGCCAGCGTTAGTCTTCGTCATCGGGCGAGTGGCATTCTTCAAAGTAGTCCCCATTTGATTAAATAACACGCTCCCCGCGGTTGTTTCATTTGTCGAAGCAGTACAACAATTTTACCAATAAGCGAGCTAAAAACATCTCAGACTTTAATTTAATTTTATATGAGGAGCACAGCGGTCCCAAAAAATATTAATTCATTACACTGGTCAACAAAAAAATAAAATCGTTTGTTTCCTTTTATTTTTTTTGTGTTTCTATCTCAAAATAACGTGTATTTTTTAAATATGGTAACAATTTTTCTCGCACAGCTTTTGTTTTTAAATTACAGCTAACTACCCTAACTACTACTAATAGTACAATTCAATTCGTAATTTAAGATTGCATAAAATGTTTTGTTATTGTTATTTATTGGCTTGGGAGATCAATCAAATTCCTAGTTTTTGTGGAAGCAGATAGATTATGACTGCCATAAATTGGACACACTGTTCTAAAAGTTGAGACCACTAACCTTGAATTTCGAGAGTAAATTATAATAATTTCGAATCGTTGGACCGTGATGATAAAATGGCAAACCATTCTAAAAAGATAAGTCAAAAGAGGAAAAAATGCTTTAATTTTCTGTCCCAATCGTTCTACTTTTGTAGCGTCCCTATTGGAGAATCCTATGCATAAATAAGTATGAATGTTTGCCAGTTATTTTGTAGTTAACATCAACAGCTTCCACTCGGTTCGATTTGCTCAGCAGCTGATGTTCAGTTGCCGAGCATCGAACGATAATGTTTGTTTCGTGTGAGAGCTTCATGTCCTTTCTTAATGAACAGCTAGAAAAACTTGGTTGAATAGGTTGATTATAATTGGCGAGATGTTTTCCTGAGCAATTTACGTATAAACAAATACATGCAAAAAAACAAATACATAAATATGCAAATCCCGAGAAACCCGTTTTGTTAATAACATAAATCAACGGTGTACTATTTTAGTTATTTAAATTAATTAAACCCCTTAGGCAAATTTCTTTTCCACTACTTCAACCGGCTCCACTCTTATTGTATACGCTTCAGACGTAAACAATAATCTAAACAAAGTGTCCAGCTTGAAAACCCTTTCGTAAGCAAAAAAGCTATGAATAATTTAAATTAATTAAACAAAAGATGCAGTCTAGAAACCATTTTAGATTAGATTAGATTTGACCAATCAAAGTTATCTAATCAAAGTTAAACTTTGCTGCTAAGTTGCTAGTCACAGCTAGAAGCTGTAGTTAAAAGAATAAAATTGAAAATCGAATGGTAATGAACTAAACCTAATTGGCGAAGTCGGTAGGAAACATGTAATATCCTCGCGGATAAAAAAAAACTAAACAAGAAAGGAAGCTTATATACCCTTGCAGACATCAAAGATGTTGAACAAAATACATAAATGCTAAACAACATTGGAGCTATGACGATTTTTATATTAATTTTCCATATTTCCGACTATTGTTCATATGGCAGATAAATTTCGTCCGATTTTGATGCAATTTAATTCGTAATTCAAGAGTCGTTAAAAAACTCTGTATTCCAAAAATTATGCTCGTCTGATAAAAAACAACGACATTATAATTTTATTTCCGTTATTTGTATATAGATTATTCGATTATTCCTATGGCACCTATATGATAATGATGTCGGATTTTAATGAAATTTTTTTCTCGATTCAACGGTTATTTTTAATCTCCAAATTTTGGGAATCATGCTCGTGGGATTAAAAGCAACGATGTTATAATTTTTTTCCAATTTTGATATACATGTAGGATTGCCATCTCTCAGGAGCGATTCCAGAAATCTTTATTCAACAGAACATCTGATTCTTTAGCATTAGGTTTAACAGAAGGGAGCGTCAAGACAGAGAAATATAAGAAGTTGAAAAGAGTAGAGAATAACTTGAAAGGAGGAAGGTCGTGTGTTCTCTAAGAAAAGAAATTTGTAAAACAAAGTGGAAAAACTATGAAAGCTGCATGTTCGGAGCAGAACGCCAGTACCTAATTAGGTGCACATAGGTGTAGGGAGTTAGGAGCCGCTCTTCAAGCCTCTCTTTGTTTATTAACGTGATCCACCGTTGACGCAGTAAAATAAAAATCCAAAAGAAAAAGCAAGAAGTTACGGAGAGAAGGGTTTTAATGCAGCAGAGCAAAAGAAGAAAAGGAGAATTTTCTTGTTTCGCAACTCCATCAAGTATGGCGAAATATTGTGAAATTCTACAGACGTCGCGTCACGTACCAACTACAAAGCAGAAAGAAGCAGAGAAAAGCCGAGAAATCCAGAAAAATCCAGAGAAAAGTCGAGAGAAGAGGAAAGATGATCAAGTAAGAATCTGAGCAAAAGGAAGAAAGAAGAATTTTCGTGTTTCGCAACCGCCATCAAGCATTGCGAAATACTGCGAAATTCTGCGTACCAAAAACGAAGAAGGGAGAAGAGGAACGAGGATCAGAAACTGAGCAGAAGGAGAAAAGTTAAGAGGAAAAAAGAATTTTAGTGTTTCTCAACCACCATAAACCATTGCGAAATACTGCGAAATTCTGCGCACCAAAAACGAAGAAGAGAGAAGAGGAACGAGGATCAGAAACTGAACAGAAGGAGAAAAGTTAAGAGGAAAAAAGAATTTTCATGTTTCGCCATTCTATTAAGCATTGCGAAATATCTTGAAATTCTGCGCGCCAAAAACGAAGAATAGAGAAGAGGAACGAGGATCAGAAGCAGAGAGAAGGATAAAAAGCTAAGAGGAGAAAAGAATTTTCATATTTCGCAACCGCCATCAAGTATGGCGAAATATTGTCAAATTTTGCAGCTACACACGCAAAGAAGTTTAAACGGTGACGAGAAAAGAAAGCGGTGACGTCAATAATCCGTCGTCGCTAAGGGCGACAAAAATTGGCTACAGTGACAGTTTGAGGAGGTGAAAGCTATCGTGGAGGAGCTGAAGAAGATCTGAAGAGGAAGACGACCAGAGAGACGAAGCGACGAAGTTCAAGAAGAGGTGCTCTACGAGAGCAGTGACGACATCAACATCGAGGCAAGAGGTGGCAAGCAGTTCAACAGGAGGCGCGCAACGGCTGCGAGACAAAATGCAACGACAACCCAAGCAGTCAAGGCATCCAGGGGTGCATCAACAAAGACGACCGGAAAGAAGCAGTGCGCAAGTATAAACTCTGACGACTTGTGGCATTTATTTAAATTTCTATATAACTTACTTTATTGCAACTTTAACTATATATTATTCACATTTAAATTGTTCTTTAGTTTTAAGAGAAAAGTATTCAAAAAATATTAATAGTCGAAATAGTGTTGTAAGAGTTAGATTTCAGTAAGAATAATATGAATGTTGAAGAGATCACACGATTTTCCGTTGCAGAGCTTACACTAAGAGACATTGAAGATTCCCTTTCTGCATTTACTGGAAGCGGTTCCCCCAACATCGATGAATGGCTGGCAGATTTTGAACTGAATTCCATTACAGTTGGGTGGACTGACCTTCTAAAATTTATTGAGCCTTCTTTAAACAGTCTTCAGCGATAGCCCATCAGTAGAGAATGTACAAAAAGTCGGTCGTAAAGTTGGAAACCCGTAGTCAAGTCGCGCCAATCAGTTGATAAATTGTTGTCTCAACCCTTTTGTAAACATTTATCCACATATCTATCTTGCATGGGGGCTCAACCGTGCCAAAAATTTAAAAAGCAAAATTCATAGTGGTGTGCGTAAGCGTCCGGCGAATTCGGAAGAAAATTGAAATAACAAGAAAGGAAGCTAGCTTCGGCAAGCCGAAGCTTATATACCCTTGCAGTCATTAAATAAATATGTCGAACAAAATACATAAAGGCAGGGGCGCACAGAAGTAGTCTGGGGCCCGGTGCAAAAAACTGCGGGGGCCTTCAATTTTGGGAGATTGTCAATCCTTGTATTTTATCGCGGGGCCCCCATAAACGCGAGGCCCGGGGGCAAAATGCCCCCTTTGCCTTTATGCTTTACAATCTATTCAGTAGAAAAATAAGTAATTTTTCTTGAATACAACATGTGGGTTTAGTTTATTAGCAACATCATTGTATTGGTATAAATTATTGGTGCCCTAGTGCTGTGGGGTTTTCCCTTTAGTCTCTTCTGGGAATGTCTCTTAGGCTTAGATTCTGGTGCAAATCTCTGGGATCGTCTGTGTGCTTAGCTCTCTGTGGATGTGGTCATTTGTTGTGTATCTGTCTGAGTTAGATATTCAGGCCGGCTCCGGTTTTCACTTTTTTTTTCGTTTTCGATTTTGGGCGAAAACGTACGTTTTCGTTTTAGGTGCTCCGGTTTTCACAAACTTTTTGTCATAGTTTCGTTATCGGAATGGTTCATACCCTTGCAGAGCAAAGGGTATTATAATTTTGGCCAGAAGTTTGCAACGCAGTGAAGAAGACACCTTAGACCCCATAAAGTATATATATTCTTGATCAGCATCACCATCTGAATCGAAATACGTCTGTACGTCTGTCCGTCTGTCCGTCTGTCCGTCTGTCTGTCTGTCCGTCTGTCCTCCTGTCCGTTTCTGCCCAAACTAGTCTCTCAGTTTTAAAGCTATCTTGCTGAAACTTTCCCAAAAGGTGTGTGGTTATTGCACGCAGTATATAAGTCGGAACGGGCC